GAGGGTCCCTGACCCGCCTCCAAATTTCCCAGGCCTTCGCCCTGCATCTGATTTCCGAACCGTCTTGATTCTCTGGCCCCATTTATAATGGGCTCACTTATCCGTGCATATAGAACAAACCCAGTGACGTAACGCATATGCCTGTCTCTTATACACATCTAGATGTGTATATAGCTTGATTATAGATCTGTATGAAATGACTGAAGGACTATCCTGGGCTTCGTATATACATTATAGGAGTGGATATCGACCTGGGTAGTTTGTCTAACACATTCATAATTAAATTTTATGCTACTATGATACAAAAACTCTACAACAGAGCATTGATATTACGGTCCAGTAAGAACACAAAAAACTAAGTAGATTAAAACAATGTGACTCGGTTTTAATTCGCAAATACCTTGTAATCCAATGACCAGAGGTAACTACTTCAGAGAGGCACTGGTTGGAGAGTACAGTCGAGGCCCTTAAGGCATATAAATTGGCCGAGGCTTTATACGTTTTATAGAGTTAAAAAAATTATTTTTACTGAAGTAATCTGTAGTAACCATTCCCCCTTGAACACCATTTCTATAGGCCTATTTCTGAGTTTAGAATTCAGGCCAGAAAAATTATGAAAGCAAATTATTTACAACTCATTATATTTTACAGAATATATTTTACTGAAGTAATCCATAATACCCTGTAGGATATCATCCGGGTATCTCCGAGTCCAGATTTCGACGAGGCCGGAATATTGATATTGTGTTTTGATATGAGCGATTGTGTCCATTACAATTTTCCATGATGACAAATAAATGATGAATCTGAATATCTGAATCTGAAGCTACTATTTTCATAAAAATACGTAGTATTATATATACTGATACCTTAATTTTACTTTTATCTATTTTAAAATATTTGCTTCTACTGGACACTATCCCGGTATTTCTGAGTCTAAGTTTCATGGCCTGAATATAGGATTACATATGAGAGTAATAGTGCCCGTACATAGGGCTAAAAATAATTAAACCATGTGACTAAGACAAATGCAAGTTTAATTTGTTATCAGTACCATAACTAGATGAATTTAGTTGCTTATTCCTACATGAATAAGTGACTGTGAAATAGGTCCAGAAACTTTCGGGTGCCAGGAAAGAATATAAAATATATAATTATGATGATGATGACGGTGATGTCGATGACGATGATGGTAATGGTGTTGACATAGATATGGCATGGATTGAGTAATAGAGACACTAATGCAGAAGTGAAGTGAGTCCAAGCTAGAATCAAGATGAAAGAAATGATCCCCGGTCAGATGCAGGGATAAAAGCCCGGAAAAACAAGCAGTCTGATTTGGAATAGACTTGGTGGTTTATATAGTCTTATTAATATTTCCAGAGAGCAAAGCGATTCTCCGATTGAGTGCCAGGGACTAAAATGTCACGGGGTTCTGGTTGTAGCATAATTATATATCAATGGCATGTTTGGAATTGATTAATCTAGTTATCGTTGCTTTGCATCGCACCAGAATTGTTGATTTTGGCTACCATACCTGGGCACCCCTCCCTCGTCCGACGCCACGACGAAGTTGTCGGGGGAAAAAAATCTATTTTAAAATCCATATCAAAGTTATTGTGATTGCTAATACCTAATATTGTGTCTACTAAAAGTATAATCGAATCAATGAGGTAGGGCCAACATTAAATTACAATATAGAAAGATAACAAGATCTGGCATAATTTAAACCCCTTTAGCATCTTGAGTGATAATTTTGGCAAATTTTGAATATATTTGCCCTAAGAAAAAAATATCTGGGGTCTCACACCTTTATGAACAGCTTAAATATATATATTAATTTGATGACAATTCAACCAATCCCAAAACAATCTTACGAACCGGCAAAGGCAGAAAAGTGCATTTCCAAGCGTCTATAAAACAACACCTTTCCGGGGGAGGGTCCCTGACCCGCCTCCAAATTTCCCAGGCCTTCGCCTTGCACCTGATTTCCGAACCGTCTTGATTCTCTGGCCCCATTTATAATGGGCTCACTTATCCGTGCATATAGAACAAACCCAGTGACGTAACGCATATGCGCTGCACGTGCAGCGGTCCCCAGGGCTCCCGACACTTAGGGACGCCTATCCATAAGGTCCTCGATCTATAACGCCTGACCCAAAAGGGATTTGTTGATACATAACAGCATAATGTGTCTCTTATATCGACTGTAGGACATATAATTATCATTATATCCAGTGGAGTATTAAAGGGGGTCTAGTCGGCCCACCAACACCCCTTAAGTTTGTCAAAAAATTGTTAATGGCGGTATTAAAAAAAATTATATTCAAATTTTAAGTCTGTGAGTGCCATTTCCTGCGGCCATCTTGAGGTGCAATAATCATAAATTCTCTTACTTCAGCCCCAACCACGTGGTAGGGCTGAGGTGGTATGCACCCTCCATCTGGAGGCCCCTCTATATCTTTCATTTTGTCGCTAAAACGATTCAGCGGAATTGTGCCAGGAACCCAAAAAGGGCCCTAGCAGTAAGTCGCAACCCTAGGCTCTAGCGTTACGTCATAGAGAACGAGGGGTGGTACCAGTGGGAACGGGTGGCCAGTCTTCCGTCAGGGAGAGCTCCCCGCCCCAATCGGTGTGAGAAACCACAATTCGTCGGGAAGAAAAAAAGGTTATATGTATTTTCTACATAATTATCTAAAATTGATTAAACAAATCTTTAAAACGCCTAAATTTTCGTGTTCCTGGGCCAGTTTCGAAATATTTTTTAGCGACGCCCACTTTGCTCTCGTCAGGGACATTCCCCTTCCGCGGGCTTCAAATGAATATTTAACCGAACTTGGGTCGAGTAAAATACATGTAATTTTTTTTCTCCCGGACAGGCGCGGAGGGGGGGGGGGAGAGGAGCTCTTCCCGATAGGGCTCTGGGCTCTGTCCCCGAGGCACCCAATGGTGCCACCCCTGATTTTAGGCGGGGATCGAGGTGCTTATTCAAATAACCACTAATTTAGCATAATTTCCCATCAGCCCTGACATAACGTAATTTGCATCACTGGTCCATACTAGTGGGGAACCAGATAACATACCCACTTCTGCTCCACCATGGTTGGGGCTGACTGTGACGTGAGCAAAAATGCTCCTGTACGAGGCCTGGAAATAGAAAACAAAATAAACTTCACACTTCATCAGGGGTTTATATTTCGATTACAAGTAATCATCCAAGTCCTGCATGACCAGTGGGCCTTTGTTGTGTGATGATGACAGTTTGGCCGACTGCTGCATTAATTGTTTTATTATATAGTCATTGTTACTATTTTTATTGTTATATACCTCTTAGGCTCCATTAGAAAAATTATTAGTTTATCACCCTATCAAAGAATAAAAACTGATGAGGGAGAGAGGTTTTTTTTTGTTTGTTTTTGCTTTTTATATGGCTAAATCTCGCCCCCATTTTACCGATGTTCACAAGTAAATCAATGTTAGGGACACATAAAAAATCATAAGAATGGAATTAAATTTATATTTAAAAAATATGCTTTTGTTGTACCAGTAAACATATTTTCAAGAAATCCTGAGGTTTTCAAGTGAAAAAAAGATGGAGAAACGACCGTTTGAAATATAAACATAGGCCTAGGCCTATGTTGTTTGAAAAAAAAAATAAATAAAAATCAGAATTTCCCCAAAAGTGATGAGGGAGGGGGTGATAAACTAATAATTTTGTTTATGAGGCCTAAACATTTTAAAATATAGGCCTATTTAAAATATATATAAATTTAAAACACAATTACAGCCAAAACAAAATCAAGTTTTTATTGCCCAAATGTTACAGAGGAACGTAAGGAAATTCGTCCAGAACTCGTTTACAGCAAAGATAATAAATAGCTATTTAAGTTCTTTGTTTACAGTTCCAGATTCGTCTTGTCCCAAAACGCGCCCTCTATATAATCACTAAAACCAAACTGCTAAAACTACGTCACCAAAACTTTTGACGAACGACGATGCGAGAGAGGGATCGGGCTAGGCCTACAATTAATTATTCATTTACATCGTCCATAGGCCTATATTTTATCATTTATACACTTCAGGTAGGTTAGGATTTTAAATTGAAGTTAAAATTATGATTTAATTGACATAATCAAACCAGACTACGCTAGGTAGGCTAGCCTACGTCAGTCATTATTATAAACATAGGCCTAGCTAGGGCCTAGGCTAGGCCTACTTCTACTAGCCTACTAGGCCTAGGCTAGTACTACTACTAGCCTACTAGGTCATACTATATACTGTAATTATAGCTGCCTAGGTCTAAACTACTAGGGCATACTGTATTATAGCTGCCTAGACTACAGTAACTAATTATTATTATAGGCCTAGATAGGGAGGGCCTAGGCTTTAGTTAGGCTTGGCTACCTAGGGCCTAGCTAGTCCTTCCTATCTATAGTGTGGTCCATAGCCTGTGTGGTGTGGTCTCCTAACCTAACTTAACCTTAACATTAAACTTGGCGTATGGGTTTTCTGCTTCATTGATGTTCTTTGCTTGAATTGATTCATTTTTAAGCCCACAGACCCAAAAATATTTTAAAATTTAACCCTTAACTTAACCCCAGTCAGATTGGTGGCTTACAACAGACTTTATTAAAGAGGTAGGGTCTTCATTATATTAAAACCATACTGTCATGAATTTCAAGCTCATTATTTTTTGTTTTCTTGTATAGAGTATGCAACTGGAGAATGGTGAGTTTCCTAGCAAAGCAGGCGATGTAACAATGCTGCCGTTCGTCAAGTAAGTGAGCCAAGAAACGTGTGAGCCACAAAAATGTGCAAAAATTCTCCCTGGCTGAAAAATCTCTCTTTATACTGTTTCATGTTCTACTGTAGTGTACTAGCATTAGTGACGAGCTATGTTTAATTAATTAAGTGAACGCAAATTAATAAGTCAATTTCTTAAATTATCATCAGTCCTAGTTATTAGGTGACTCCACAGTGCACAAGGCGTGACAAGGGTGGATCCAGCAGGGGCACTGGAGCCTGTGTACACTCCTCCATCGGTCTTGCCAAAAAATTTTAAGAAGGGAGAAAAAATTGAGATGAGTTACTATGTAACTGAGTAAACTGAAATGTTAATGTTATTATAAAGTAAATGTGTGTTAGATTGTAGTCAGTAACAGCAATAAACAGCAAATGTAAATGAACTATAACAATTTTTCCTCTGATTGTGTGATATGTGATAACATGAGCACACTTAAAACATAAAATTTGTTGAGAATTGGTCAGTACACCAGCCAAAATATTCTGATTTTCATGTGCTGCATTTTAAAATTACTACTGTATTAGATCATCATCTACGGTATCCAGAGTACAAGAAAACATGAGAGTGGAGCAACTAAAAAAACATGGATCCATTGAAAGGCCACTAGCAAAAGAAGACAATACATTCTGGTAAATCTTCTGTATAATTTCAAACAGTTAATTAAGTCTACAGGAAATCTGCAATAAACATATTATGGGTGGACCAAAAGAAAAATCTGGGTCGGGCCATGCGATGTGCAAAGCACTGAGTGGATGTGGGTGTTTTGAGATTTTTGTTTAGAAATGCTTGACCATAGACACATCTGGTACATGAAATTTAAATTGAAAACTAGTGTGTTTTGGAGTACAGTAGTGTGCTCCCCTCTCTTTCTCTCTTCTCTTTTTTTCTGTTTTTTTTTCCGGTGGGGAGGGGGGTCTAGCTCCGTTTCCCCTGGATCTGCCCCTGCATAAACATAATCATAATTTGAAGCCATTATAAACAGAAAAGAAAACATTAGTGCTAAATACAAAAATGAACATATGATGAAGTGCAGTAATTAGATATCTCTACAGGTAAAATTGTTGTTTTGTACCCAATAAGTATGTAAATGCATTTTGATAAATCTTACAATATATTTTGTTTGGCAGTCCTAAAAAAAAGTAATTTAGACTTACGAGGGCCTTTGAAGAAAATGTACTGAAAGAAGACATTTGAAAATCATGTTTGTTATATTATTACAGGAATGATGGTTTATCTATGCCAATGTTTCACATTGAAGAAAAGAAGGGAGTGGTATGTAATAGACATTTGCATGTTTAATTTAGCATAATATCTAGAAAGTCAGAGAATCAGTTACACATAAATTGAGGCCTTCCAATCCCAGTCTTGGGTTCAAATTCTAAGCCAGGCACTCACTGCCTTGTACGACCGTTGGCTGACGAATCTCCGCTCCGTCTGAGCGCAGTGTGTGCCAGGCTTAAGCCTTGTAAGGATACGTAGTTCATAAAACACAGTATTATTTTAATTAATGTAATCATAATCATGTTTTTTAGCTTTCTGGAAAAATTGTAAGGAAACATGGAAATCCATTAAAGCTATCACCACCATTTTGCGACTTTAAGAGAGATCTTATACATCCCAGCATGCTTATCACACGGAAAAAGACAAGGAAAGAAAAGAAGCAGAGGAAACTGGGATTCAATATTGATGAACATTTGGCCCAGTTAAAGAGGAAACAATCACGAGTTGGCAGGTTAGAATCTACATCTGTCCCAACTTAATTTTAACAAATTTATCCATATTATTATATTCTCTGAATACTAATGTAATAAATATAGAAATTGATTTGGTAGGAAAATTTCAAGATGTTGCTTGCTGCATCATCCTTCTCGTCATCAGTTCATATTTTTGTAAACAGTTTCTTCAGCAGTCAGAATAATGATAGTACTGTACCTTCAACCTGATTGTAGTTTTAAAACATACACTGCTCCTAATCCAATAGATCTATGCCCACTGTTGTTATGTACATAGTTCTATGCCCACTGTTGTTATGTACTGTACATAGTTTTATAATTATGAATTTTTATATTATTCAAAACATATACAGTAGATATTAGCCCATGACTTTGTAGCAGTAAAGTTTTTTTAATCATCCATTACATACCGTACAACCTCAAATTTAAAACATGCTTGGTTTATACAGCAGTGATTTAATGCATGCAGATTGATGTTACAGTGGTCCTATTTATTGTTTTATAGTTGTAATTTCAAAAATTTACAGCATTCATTTTGAAAAGAGGCCCCCATCTTTACTTTGCAAAAGCAGACTCGAAAAGAAGCCCGTCCAAAGTTTGCAAAAACTTTAGAAGCCCAGAGCTTCAATTTGAGGTTTTAAGGTATACTGTTTGTGAAAAACAGGGCACTCAATGCACTTTCTGGTCGCTATGTAAAACGCAATGATACAACGTGCACGCAATGAGATCATTTTGAATGACGATCTGTTCAGACTGCCACCGACAATCAGCAGACAATGTGGCGTCGTCTAACGCTCACAGGGTGTGAAGTTGGATTTATGGGCCGACAGTTGTACGACCAACGTACAATGCAGTGAGTGCCCTGCTTTAGAGTTACACAAATATAGAAAGAAGGCAAATATTTAGAATTGCTTAATTTTTGTATTTTAGAATCTCTTTAGATATGTGTATTGTTAAAAGTTAATAACTTATTTGGTCAATTTAAATTAGCTATTCAATATTTTAATTGCATTTTTAGTGTTATACAAATTATATTGGTATATCTTTAGGTTATCAAATAATAATATTAAATATTATTAATGCCATCAATTCAAGTCATTATTTGTCATATTATATTACACTTTTTAAAATAACTTTCATTTATGTCTGTCAAATACACATTTTCCAGCAATTTACCTAGGACAAAAGCTTTCTTCTCTGAGAGAAGTGTCAATGTCACCAGAGAAAAACTCACCACACAGATCAGAATGCTAATACCTGATGAAACAGAAAGTACTCATAAAAGCATGGACAAATCACAGGTATGCATACCACATCGTAATGCTTGGTTTTCAGTCGTCAAAATTCTTCTATGAATTGGAAAACCTCCCAAAAACCCCACAGTATTCCAGACATGTATCTTGTGAGCAAGCAAAATCTTTTGCAAACTATTAGGCCCATCTCTCTCTCGGCCCAACTGTTGGCCACCTAATATCAATTCAGTATTCAATACAGTCATGGAATGACATGACTTTTGCAATCTTACAGGCACTACTTGAAGAGACCAATGAAGCTGCACAAGACCATTGTCAGATTGATGTTAAATTCAATGGTAATACAGACATATTTGTTTCGAGCTTTACATTACATTTTGTTCATTGGTGAAATAATTAAAAATATAATGATAGCAAAACAAAAATTGATATAGTGTACAGTATTCCATTTTGAAAAAAATTGCTAGAAAATGTGACAGGATATAATTTAATGTCGGTTTTAGCCCGAGTCAACATCAAGAACCATATTTTTTCATTAGTGTAATGAAGGTGTAATGTATTGTTTTAGTATGGTACTATATATTAAGAAGATTAAGAAGCATATTTGATATTGATTCAATCCACTTTAACACCCTAATTATATTTTACCAGTGTGGAACCAATAAACATGTATTGTATTGCAACATTAATCAATCCACTTTAATTTTTGATTACCATAGTGAGATGAATAAACATGTATCGAATTGTATTGTGATATTAATGAGCATATTGAAATCCATCCACAGTTTGATTTTAATCATCCTAATAACATTATCTGTAATGTGGTACAGTATATATATTTCAAATACTATTTTTCTTTTATTAGCTCCAGCTGAAATAGATGAATTTACAAATCCATTTCTAAGGAAACCAAGAATGATGTATCCAATGAATTTTAAGAATGACATTAGTACTGAAGAAGAAAACAAGTTAAAACAAAATACCTTTGGAAAGTTTATAGTTGAAGAGTAGCAGATCAACCACCAGTCCACCAGTGGTAGATGCAGAGAGGGGCACAGGAGGCCATGCACTGCACTATGCTACTCTATTCCAGATTGGTCAACACTGCACTATAATCATTTCACACAAAACAACTAGCCACAAAACATTAGAGTTATTTAGTTAAGATGTATATTTATTAGTCTTATATGGTAGTCATGCAAACAGTGTGCCTATGTAGTTACTTTACATTTTGCTACACACTAGGTTAACACAGCAATAGAAAATTTAGGATGCTTATCTTAATACTACAAGCATGATGAAAACAGGCATTAATTGAACACATGGTACTTATAATATAGAACAATACAGAAAATGCAAACAAAAAACTCAATATATATACTGTACAGTAATTACAGTATAATATTAATTATTATCATATGATTAAACCACGTATGTTTATATTATTTATTCGAAACTTTTAATGGGTCTATGTGCAATTTATTAAATACGAAAATGCAATCAAATAAAAATGGATATAAAATAAATTATATGCTGTTAGTGAATATTTATATTATTGACAATAAATTGGGGGTTTTTTTAAAGATTAAAAACCCAATGGTCACTTAAGTTTCATTTTAAATATTTTCAGTTATGTTCGCATTGCATCAATATTTCTTGCCAATTCTGCTTCTAGTGATTCCTGTTTAAAAAAAATGAAGGAAAATAGTAATTTAGTTCGCACATCCTACATGAAAGTTGACATAAGAAATGGTTGATGGAGAATAATTATTAAATATTATTGCCATTGTGGCAATAAAGATAATTATAAAACTTGAAGACTATCTTTTTGTTTGATCTGCACAGTTTTCTTCTTAGAATATAGTACAATACATAAATAAACCTACCAGTTCTTGTTTGGCTTCTTCAATCTTTACTTTCGTTAACGATACGTTGGGAGGAAGACAATGGTAACTGTCAAGCTTAGATTTCAAGGGTGCAAGCTTTGCTTTTAAGTTACCGAGGTACTGTAACATAAAAAAAGGAAATAAGATGATGTGATACTCTCTAACTTCAGACTGGCAAAGACAGTTCATTGGGTTAATTTAAATAGCAACTGCAAGAAACTGGCCTAACCAAGGTTTAGAGATGATGTCAACAGGAGGTGCCAATTAATACCTACAATATCCTACTTTATTGACACTGATTGGCACAGTTTGCTTTTCTGTTAATTTAGAAATTTAATATTAATACTAACACAACTTTATTATGATTTAAAATCAATCAGACATAACAAACACGTTTTTATTTTTATTCCATGGGGGTTTAATATACAAGGTATTACAAGTGCTTATTATTGTATTTGATTGAAATTAACCACAAAATTGTTAATTTCTGTATGTGTCCTGTGTACAGCCAGATCTCCCCAGAAACTATCCGGGCTCCACCACAAGAACCTACACAGTATCCTCTAAACCATTTTAACTGCTTTAAAAAAAAAAAAAAGACCTCAAATGGAAAAAGTTAGTATTGCTGATGGAAAAAAAATTGTCAATCAGAAGATAATACATACTTCAGCTTCTTTAACAAGACTCTGATGACTTAGTGAATCACTAAACCCATTCTCGTTGAGCTGATCCTGAAAGAATATCACACACACCATTTTATGTTTTATTAAACCACTGATTTTTTATAAGTATTGTTTTTATATACCCTTTATAAAAAGATAATTATCAAACTCCAAAAAGCTACAATGATTCTAATACATAAGTACTATCTATATCAAACATATCAATTGTACCCATAGAGATATTATAACTATTAAGCTGACAATGAGAGGATGAAGCAATGCAGAGTTGTGTATGTGTACCATACAAGATGGCCGCCATTGGAAAGCGCCACTTTCAGGCTTGGTATACATACTAAAACCATAAATACGCCCTTTTGCTATTATATCATTAATAATTATTAAAAATAATAAATGACAGTGTAGCCAAAATGAGGCCAAGTGGAGTACCTGATTTAAAAATAAAGTGCTGTTGAATGAGTTTCAACATAGCTATATTCAAAACTTTCATTTTAAGTTGAGGGCGCCATTGGAACAATGCTTAGCGTATTATGATTGGCTGAATGTAATGCAGCCATCTTATACACAACTCTGCGTATTTTTAACATTGAATACATTCAAATTCTAGTATTCTTATTACAACTCTATGGTTGTACCCCATGCATTTTATTTATTTATTGTTTATTTACTATTTTATTCATTTGTATGTTTACTTAGGTTTTTTACTTTTTTTTTATACATTTACTTCAGTCAACATTACCTGATTTATATATCCATTTTTTCTAAAAGCAATAAATAAATTTCAATTTGACACAACCATTTTTAGTTATTAAAGGTGAAGCACCTTCACGTAATACATTTAGCTAAATAATAAGCTATGATCAAATAACATAATAACCATCAATTTAAATGACAAATGATGCAATGTAATAAATTCAACAATTCATTTGAACTATGACCACATCACTCTAGATGACAATTTTTCTATCAAAAATCACAAACCTTCAGTTGTTGCCGTTTAGTAGCGTATTCTCGTATTTTGTTATGTAAAAACCCAGTAGTGCGAACCTTCTTTTCTAGCTCTGGTCCTGCATATTGAGACTGATCTTCTAAGGCATCAAGAGCTCTGAAAATATTCAAAATATGTACACAGGTTGTTAACAGATTTGGCCTGTAATTAGAAATACAGTAAAACTTGCCTGTTGACTTTGCCTACTCAAATAATTTCTAAGACGATTTTATTTTACATACCAAATTGTTATATTTCCAATAATCAATGATCTGTAAGTCAAATTTTATCTAAGTCAAACAATTTTTCAATGCCATTTTGGACTTGACTAAAGCAAGTTTGACTGTAGTTTTCATAAAGCTAAAGGTATGAACTTATCAGAGGTCACATAGTGATCTTCAATTGGAGTTTCTTTAATTAAAGGAGACCTTTATTTCAAAATTAAATTAATTTTTGTTTGTACAGTAGTAAACAACAAATCTTGGCTTTTTACAGAATCTGAACATAAAACATGGATTAGACTATACAGGTCCATGTTAACCGAAGAAATCAAATTAATAGGCAATACAGTAAAAGAACCTGAACAATATTATGTATATTACCTTTTTAAGCTGGAAGCTTTAATGAAAGCGGCCTTGGTTTTGGTGAATAGCTGTTCATTTTGTTTTGTTTCAGTGCAATGTTCACTTTGTGTTTCCATCATTGACTGGGTTAAATTGCTCATCTGCAGTAAATAACTAACCAGAGAGGCAAATAATCACACAATATCAGACAAAAAAGTTTATTCAAATTTATTATTATTTTATTATATATATTTTTGTTCTGTGATTTTGTTTTTATTATCACTATGATGCTGTAAAATAAATTTTTTATAAACCAGTTATTACTGGGTGGTACTGAATGTAAATGATAAACTGTATGTATACAATTATATAATAAGCTTAATTCTCTTTAACAGGACCATACTGCAAACTATATTAATTTGTTTCATACTTCAATTGCATCCAACAGCAAGTGTAAAAGATGGTATAAAAATGATCAGATGCTCTATTATGTAGGCCTTTTATGTACTCTTTTTGGGTCCCTGCAAGGCGGATCCCAGAACCTCACTGTTGTTGCTCTTCTTGTTCTTGTTGTTACCAGAACTTTAAAAGCATCCAGCGTCGCCAGTTCTGAATGGATGTGCAGGAAATTTTATACACATAACCTAAAGGTTATTTCCAACAAATTTTCATGGCCCTTTTTTTAGGTTTGACCCCAGGGTGCCTCCTACACCTACAAAACAAAACAGGGGTTCCTGCAAGTACTGTACATAGCTGCCAATACCACTAATAGGACATGTCGCAGTCAGTTAGCAATGTGTTCTAAGGGAATAAGGAAAACAAAGGTCGTGAATTTGAATCTCATCTTGGTATTTAATTTTCTTTTTTTTTTTTTTCTATTTTAAGACATTTTATTTATTTATTTTTTTTAATTATTTATTATGACCCCTTGCCGAAAACCCAATATAATAATTTCCTCCATGCTTTAAGCATGTTTTAAGTGTCAACAAAAAGCCTTGTCTGAAAGGTGCATACACGAAGCGTTAAATGCTGAATAAAAGTAATCTCAGTTTAATGCACGGACCAGTGAGCAGTTGCTCTTGTTAAAGATTGCTTTGTAAAGCAATACTGTACTGTACTGTATATCCTGTGGAGATGTAAGATGAATGAATCATTATCTGTAAATGATGAACATCAGTAAAAATACTAAAAAATATTAAATAGATAATTAACTAAATAAGTTTGTCAGATAAATAAGTGAAGTAAATAGGTAAAAAAAGTAAAATACAAATGATTAAAAATAGTAATTAAATAAACAATAAATAATAAAATGCATTAATAATTAATGAATTAATAAGTTATAACCTTATAATATTATAAAATTATAACCATGATATCAATTAATGTATAAATGTGAACATGGTTTGATACTGTGTAAAATGTGGGAGTGGTTTGTGCAGCGATTGCAATTCAGGCTCTGAACCTTGAGGTTGGGTTTTGGACCACTCACTGTTCTCACCTGCTTGTTGTGACATCTTTAATTTCCAGTATAGTAGCAACCCTAGCAAGCGTTCTTAAGCTCACTGACCCAGACTGGGATAAGCAAGGTGTTGATAAACCAACGGATTCTAATATTTGACTAAGACGCTTTGCTGAAAATAAAGAAATCTATTGCTTTAGAAGCACATATAAACTAATCATAAGAATTTCTAATAATAAATGTGATTTATAATCCTTATTCAAGTTTTAAGAAATTTCTCACAAGTTAATATTTGCATGTCGACCAACCAATATTTAATAATGAAGTTCACACCTTCAGCTTCATATTCTGTTGTTTTTTGGTTCAAATCTGCAAGAATAATTTGGGCATCACGGTTGCGTTCCTTATTTTTCTGCATCAGTTTAATGATCGTTTCTAGATTGCGTTCATTTATTTCATATTGAGGAATCTCTTCATCAAGGAACACTTCCTCAAGCCATGACTGCACCTTTGTAAATAAAGGTAAAGTAACATTTGAAGATTGTATTGTGAATATATTCCTGTTTCTGTTTATTTACTGCCATAATTTACATTAATAAAACTTTATTTAAATGTGAATGCTTGTCTCACCCATTAACCTTGTTCAACAAAGTTATGATGTCAAACAATTTTATTCGAAATGATGATAGAAAAAGAAATGGAAAATAAAGGATTAACAAAATGATATCAAGTAAACATGCAAAAAAGGAGGTTTGGTTTTCTACAAAATTGTAGTATCAGATAGTTAGTAGGTAGGCCTTCCAAATTTCAGTGCTGTCCACTTGGCTTGGGCCCCAGTAATAAACAAATTGGCCTGCTTTAACTGAGTCCTAAACCAAGCCTCAGAGACTTGAGTACATAGGCTTATAGGTTGGCCTATATAAGTAGATTAGCAAGATGACAGATAGGCCTGCCTGTACTAGGCCTACTACTAATAGGCCTAGTACTAGTATAGTGCTGCGAATTCGATCCAACTCGGCCACAAGTCAACTCGGCCACAAGTCAACTCAGCCACAAGTCAACTCGGCCACAAATCAACTCGGCCACAAAAAGTTCGGCTACAGCCAACTCGGCCA